GCAATTTTTTATTCAATAAGAGCCAAACTAAAAAGTTGTGCCATTTTATGCACCACGGGAACAAGAAACCTGTCAATCTGCAGCTACCTATTCTACATCCATTTGAGATCAACTTTAAGTACAGGAGTACAGCCAAGAGGATCCAATCTACAGCCTGTGTTTCTCTATGGGAGAGGGACATAATTTATTTTTTTCTTCACTCTGAAATAAGTACAAATATTAAAACACACCTCTGATGTCAAGGTGCAAGTTAAACTGCTTTACAGTCTAATAAAAGCTATAAACTTTTCTCCTAGTGTAATTTCTCACAGCAGTGTCCACAAGATGATATAAAAATATAGTGTTCATCTGTAAATTCCACTGTGATAAAACTGATTTCCTAAGTGATTTCATATATTCAGACTTTCTTCTAGAGCTGAAATATTACTTGCTTGAGCCTTGTGAAAGCTGCTTATTCTTAACAACCCATACTAATTTTGTATTGTTTCCCATAAATGAAACACTGCCACTTTTTAAATCAGAGATAATTTGTTTGATGGACTACTTTAGCCTGAAGGTTTATTGTGTGACTGCGAAATCCACAGCCTCCGTACCTTTCAAACATTGATGCTTATTTGCAAAACACTCAACAATACATTTTTTAATCCTCAATACAGCAAGACCCTTAAATGTACTCACGTGCTTAAACGTCATGTGCATCATGTTATCCCATTCAGCGGGATTCCCCAAAGTCATAAAGAGCTTAAGCACTTTCCCGTACCAGATTTGAAACTCTTATGTTAATTAAGTGAGCTCTGAGCAGAATTAATGGTTACAACTGCCTACAGTACTTATGGCAGCTACTAGACTCTCCAAGCTTGGACGTGCAACTTCATCAAAACTGAATGAGCAGTGGCAGCACATTTTCAATATCTCTACTGATACAGAATCCAGGCAGAGCCATGTGCCATGGAGAAGGAAGGATTAGACCCTACATCCAGACACAGCAGGGCACATGAAGCAGGAGCAGCTCTTCTTCTTTGCCAGAAGGTAAAAGTTGAATGCGAAATGTAGCTAGTTCTCACCAAATGTAAGCTCCAAGTACATCTCCGATTTCACCAGCATGCCATGCAGCAAACTGGGGCAATTAGAGAGAGATAAATATGTATGATTGAACAGTTACTGTATTTACATAAGACACTAAACTTGGGGTGAAAACTCTTTCCCCTCTCCACTAACAACCTTCATGTGACTGTTCTGTGAGTGGGGAAGAAGACCTGTGAAACCTGATTACATACTACAGCTGTAACTCAAACTACCGAGAACAACTACTAACCATTTGCCAGAGAAAACCATCATAGTAGAATGGTTATTCTCCATGTCTGTAGGTCTTCACACCATAATCTTTCTGGAAGACATCTGTTACCCAGAAATAGTTACTTGGTTTCAAATGGAAATACATGGGTGAACCAGAGCTCAGACTATTTAATACAGAATCACAGAATCAACTAGGTTGGAAAAGATCTTTAAGATCCTCAAGTCTAATCATTACCCCAGGACCACCACTAGACCATGTCACTAAGGGCCTCGTCTACAAGGTTTTTGAACACTTCCAAGGATAGTGATTCCACTGCTTTCTTGGACAGCCTATTCCAATGCCTAACTCCCTTTTTGGTGAAGAAATTTTTTCAAATATCCAATCTAAACCTCCCTTGGTGCAGCTTGAGGCCATTACCTCTTGTTCTAGCACTTGTTACTTGGGATAAGAGACTGACCTTCACCTCACTACAACCTCCTTTCAGGTAGTTGTAGAGAGTGGTAAGGTCTCCCCCGAGCCGTCTCTTCTTCAGACAAAACAATCCCAGTTCCCTCAGCTGTCCCTCATAAGACTTATTCTCCAGACCCTTCACCAGCTCCGCTGCCCTTTTCTGGACCCACTCCAGCACCTCATTATCTCTCTTACAGTGACAGGCCCAGAACTGAAAGTAGTATTTGAAGTGCAGCCCCACCAGTACAGGGGGATGATCACTTCCCTAGTCCTGCTGGCCACCCTGTTTCTGATAGATGCCAGGATATACATTCCTTTGGATTAAGATTCATGACTTATTAATCTCATTTTAAATGTGAGCTATCTTGCACAAAGAATATGGTCTTAGAAAAACTGTAATACTGATCAATTACATAATGATATAGGAACACTGAGTGTTCTTTCCTTTATGTACTTTCATGTGATTTCTTAAATCCCAGCTGGATAAAAATATGTCCTGTCTTCTGTCTAGTTCTACTTCAGGCACTCCCAGAATGACATTTTGCTTTCACATTTTAGTAATATTAGTATTGAGATCAGAGATATTAAAACTTAGAAAATCTGACATGCTATGTCAAAGTACAAAGACAGTATCTGAGAGCAAATGGAAGAACAGACAGACTGAATTAAGTAGCAGAAAAAGGGAAAGAATGATAGGAGGGAAGATAGCAAATATACGGAAGAGAAAGATTAAGCAAACATTATAGTGTAATCAGATGGGTATGAAGAAAAAACATTAAACAATGTTGAAAGCATAAGTTAGGGATATAAATTCATACATAAAATATGAAGCTAGAGATAGTATGGGTGTGATCCCATTAACACTTATGCACAGACAAGATTTTATTCATAAGACTTGCATAAGTTAGGGGGTAATGCTCATGTGAGTAACATGATGTACAAGAGGATTTTGGCCTTGTGTACATCATGTACATGTGTAAAAACATTTAAGCAGGCATTTAACTCTGATAGGGCCTGAGGGAAACTTTCACCATGAAAGCTGGTGGAACTGAAATTCTGCAAAGAACTGAGAGGAATACCCTAAAGACTAGTTATTTGACAATACAACTAAGGTTATCATTCTGTTTGAAGCATAAGAAAGTAAAAGTTGCAGTTTGCACAGATGTTCAAGACCGGGTTGGACGAGGCCTTGGGTGATATAATTTAGCGTAAGGTGTCCCTGCCCATGGCAGGGGGGTTGGAACTAGATGACCTTAAGGTCCTTTCCAACCCTAATTATTCTATGATTCTATGTGGAACACATGTCTGAAAGAAAGCATGATCAATGTGTGAATCCAGAAGCAGGGAATCCTCATTAACCCTCTAACTGCTATCTGCAAGAAGTCTACTAGTAACTCTAAATGGGTGTAATGGCCTTAACTCTTATGGGATTACTTCTGCAGTTTAATGAGACACTGACTGTTGGTTTACCTCAGCCCTGTCTGTAATAATGAGACACCTTTATAGGGCAATAAGCAGCTGGTTTGCCAATAACAGACCGGGATTCTTGTGAGTGGCAGAAGCTCAGTCAGACACCTTGTCTGTTTGGTACAATTTATTGTACTCATTCTACAGGCAGGAAAACAAAGCCCAATATGTCACTTTCCATAACCCATTGGGAAGTCTGGTAGGGCCAGGAATGGCATTTCTGGATCAAGGTCATTTAGGATAACAGCACAATTTTCCACTAGAAGATTATGTTAAAAAAAAAAGAATTAAAAAAACAAAACAAAACAAAACAAAACAAAACAAAGAGTCTGCCTCCAGTAATACAGTAAATTTCTTACAAAGTATTCTCAATGTGAAACTACAAAAACAGCATTAAAAGCCATTAATCAAACAACCAACCCCCCCATGACCTTCCTTCTCCAAGAGCTCCTGCCTGTGGATTGACAAAATGATGCAAAATCTCAGTATTTTACATATGGGTGCCCGAAATATATGGAGCCAGAATGTTCCAGTATTACTGTTATCCTGCCAGAATACTAGATTCCTTCTTCTCAGATGGTTCTGCAGACTTCTAGGCTGTTATCCTACCATCTCTATCTACCTCTGCCAGCACTGTGCCTCAGCTTCATTTGCAAAACTGGAAATAGCAAAAAATATTCTTCCACAAGACTAAACAAAAATTAAAAACAATATAAAAGGCATGATACTTTAGAACAGTCCTCACTGAAGCTACATCAGTCTTATTTCTTCACTTCTGCAAGACGTGCTGCAGAAGGCAGCTAGAAATACTTCTACCAAAATCAAATTACTAATTTAGCACCATCTACAGCAACTATTTATACAGGACTTTTCTACGGCATACATTGGGATTTTTCCTAAACAATACAAAACCATCCATTATTTAGAGTATTTCAAATACAATGTTCAGAATTTGCAAACTATTACAACATACACGAGTTTACTTATGGAAAGGACAGATTTTAGAAGTCACAATATTGTGAGTTTTACAGAAAGTATGTTTTCCTTGAAATGACACTTGAATACCCTTGCAAGAGAAACTACCTTTAGCCTGTAAAGTGCAATTTCTGGCAACACTCCCTAAAGTAGAACACACTTGCCTCTAAAAATAAGCCATGGTGCTATCAGCAGCACAGATTACTTTTTCCTGGCAGAGAGAGCCCGATGCATCCACAAATGACTGCAAGCGGTGATGACCAACTGGCTCCAGCAGCTGGTTCAGCCGTCACAGCTGCCCTGGAAGCCACCCTCCTGTGTGACAGGGCGGTGGGCCCCACCACCATCAACTCCAGGTGCTCCCTGCATGGCAGTAGCACAACCGTAAGGCTGTCAGCTCCCATGGCCATCGCCCACGGGTGGCATTGGCCACGGGTGGCATTGCAGCAGGCGGCTGGCGGCATCCCCTTGGCTCTGAGCTGGGGGCAGGCCTGAGGTGGAGACACCGGTGTGGACACCTTGAACGGGATCGGGGGCTCAGGGGCTGTGTTTATGCGCGTGTGTAAGTAGGTACGTGTGCATGCATAGGCATAAATGCGCGCACACACGCACGTATATGACTGTGTCCGTCAGTGAATGCCCGTGTGCCATCCTGGCACCAGCCCCGGCCAGGGCAGACCGCGTCGGCTACCGCCTCTCCCGCCGCCAGACGCAGGAAGCCGTGGCGAGGCGGGTCCCCCTCGGCCGGTGCCCGGCCCCCCCGGCCCTCCCGTACATTCCGCCGGGCGGGAGGCCCCGGTCCTGGCCTTACCCTCACCGTTCCCCTCCTTCTCCGCCATGGCAGCAGCCTCGCGCCGTCGCCATGGCGACGCGGGCTTGACGGGGCCTCTGCTCCCGCCGGCTGCCAGCGGCCTGCTTCCCGGGCCGGGCCGGGCCGGGCCGGGCTGAAAGCGCTTTCCTTGCGGCCTTCGCAGCCTGCTAACGTCCACAGCAAGGGAAGGGGGATGGAGGCAGACCGCTGAGGGCTCTACGTGCAGGCTCAGTGCCGCACTGGGCAGGGTGCCGCGGCCACAGTCCCCCCACAAAATGTGAATCAAGCCCAAAATGTGGATGCCGGTGAGGAGGTCCAGGCTCGGTCTGTGTCCCCGGCACGGGGCCCCACACCACCTCACGCTGGTGTTTCGGGCATCGCTCCCCATTGTGCTGAAGAGATGGAAAAGGTGATCAAAACCCGCATCTATTCTATGAGGTGGAGGCCCTTAAATGAGCAGCTTAATCCTGCCCCTTCACAGTACCCCTCTTCTCTTAAAAATAGTTTTCCCAGCAATTGCTGAGATTTTCATGTATTTGAGCTTTAGGAAGTGAAAGAACATTTTATTCTAAATACCATCACGCCAAAACAGCTAAAATATTCTGTCTTAGTGATATTAAATAAAACTGTGCAGTTTAAATTTAGCTGTTTTAGCAGACACACTTGCTATGCCTGCTTCTTCTGACTCTAAAACAACTGTGAAACTAGAAAAAAATATAAATATTAATATTCTGGCAAGATGAAATCATATATTCATAGAAAATAAATATTTATGAAATTCTTAGAACTAAACCTTGTCCTCACCACAGCAGGTGCTTGCTTGTTGGATGTTAAATTTTTGCAAAGCCCATTTGGATGAGTCTTCCTCCACCTCTCAAAGTTATGCGCAGTGGAAGCCTGAAATTAAAGCAAAACAACCCACATTGAACCCAAATAGGGCTTCTTTGCTTTAGAATAGTCACCTTTTTATAAATTTTAACATTTGCTATTTGCCTTTCAGCCACTTCTTTCTGCATTTTTATCGAGCGTGGCTCAGAGTAAGGAGGTTATAAAAGATACCCAAGAGAATACATCTTTACTCTGCTGGGAAAACAGCTGATTATGTTAACAAGTTGATCCCTCTGAAAGGTTATATTCTGACTTTAACAGTTTATTAAATATTAAATATTTCAAATTACACGTTTGACTACAGAAGTAGCACAGATTGTTTCCTCTTAAATTGATAACAGAAGTTTTGGTAAGAACAGCACGGCAGCCCAAGTTAGAGGATGCAGCAGAAGGAAAGGCTCTTTCAGTCTTACAGGGGTGCCACTTCTTATTCTCTCAACCCTGCCACACAGAAAACAGTCTTTCCTGCTTGTAGATCTATAGTGGTGGATCAGTTGTGTGTCTGAAACTGAAGAACAGTGCAAAGTACATCATTTTGGCAAAGATAAAGCTTTCTTATCTCTTACGCTGCTTACCCCAACTGTGGAATTTCATGTTCTTGAATACTGTGCCCAGCATTAGACTTCTTACACCATTTTCAAGATCACCTGATAGGACATTACAGCTTTTCTACAAACGCTACGCTAATTCAAAGTGTTTAACACATTTCCTAATAAAAGCTTTTAAAATCCTGTTCTAGTTATTCAGGTTTTCATGTCAAATCCATACCCAAAATATGAAAACATTCAGCTTTAAAATAGATACAAATATTGCCTGTTGTCCTGATTTATTGAGATTCTTGTGTTTTTACAGTAGCCTTTAAAGTGAGTCACTGCAAAGCAGTAAGACAGTAACTCCTCTCAGGCCACTAACTTTAACATATTCCCAGCAATATCACCAGGGCTTGTGATTGGCTTTCCTCAGCACTCTTTCCTATTTGACAAATTGTTGTCTTTGTTTCCTTCAACAAGAATGCCAGTGTGTGTAAAAGCCAATCCTGAAAGGGGAAATCATGAAGTACATAACAGCTATGACACATTGTGTACGCCACAATGTATATGTCCTGTTGTAGCAGCTGACTCTGGCCCTCAGGAGTTGCCACAACAGCTCCTCAGAGAGAGCATTGTTCAGAATGTATAAAAGTATTGATCAAATTATGGATGTTTGCACTTACTATGTTTGATACCTTTAGCCTAGGTGCAGAATCTTGTGTGACTTACAGCTGATACTAATTTCAGCAAACAGGATTTTGCCCTGTCCTACCCGTGTTATTGAGATTCCACTCAGGCCATTACTGTATATCAAAGTGCTACATTTGCATCATCTGTTTCAGCTTGGAGTTTCCTTTTGCTTTCAATAGCTTGCAGCCAAATATCAGCACCTGTTTCTCCTTCTTCCCCCTATTCCAGACACAGGACTTGGGTGCCTTGCCTGTCTGCAGAAGCAGTACAAAATAGGGAATGAGAAAGAACTTCAGAACTAGAATTCACTGCTTTAAAATTTCCTGGCGACATACCCTGAAAAAAATCTATGTAGGAAAAAAAATATTAACAGTTATAATGCAGATCAAATATTGGACCCGAACGACATGACTGTTCTGTTTCCCTTCTAACTTAATGCACAGACATCTCAAACCAAGGGTATGAGTGGGCTGAAACAACTAATCGCATTTTGGCACAGATAAGTACAAAAGGAAACCCAGAACTACTAATTCAACAGCTTGAAATATCAGCTGCTGCATGAAAGATCTTTAAAGAGCTCTTTTGAAGAGAACATACCCTTTTAAACTTGTAACTTTTCATTTAAAAATGTCAAAAAATATCTCAGGGAAAATATGGAAGAAACCAGCATTGTTGATACGAAGCCTGAATCCACTGAAATAGACATAAGATACCCCTGACTCTGCACCTAATTTCATCATATACATTCCTCTCAGCTATCAGGGTCCTATCACACATTTTGTATATTTTCCATGCATATGTTCAGAAATTTGTTCAGCAGTAAGAAACAGCTCTAAGATGGGAGAAGTGATGTAAAAGATAAAGCAGTTCAAGGAGGTGCAATAACATCCTACAACACAATGTCCCCCATGCCTTCAGGGTTGCAGCATTTGGACACATCTTTGCTCCGAACTCTTGCTGAAGACCTTCACTATAGAACACCATCTGTGGGTCCTTGAGGACCACATAACTTAAGGCACAAAGAAGTGTATTCATTTGCCCTTCACAGAGAAAGTAAATTAATAGCTATGACTCTGTGATGGGAGTCTACCTGCAGCTCTTCTGGAGCTAAATGGGTACAGCCCTACCACTCAGAGTGTTTCCATGTCACAGTACCCTTTTTCACCAATATAATACAAATGACCCAAGTGCACTTGTCATCCTCATTCTACTCTTCCTCTGGGCTCAGCAGCTGATCCTAGTGACTCAGAAACAGCTTCTTCAAAACAGAGTATTATCTAAACATTATCTGTTCACTCAAATGATCCACAGCAACCAGATAAAAATGAGAAAAATACTCCATCATTCCTTGCCTATGCTGTATCTTTCCCTTCAGATTTTGGGTAAATTACACTGAGAGCAGCTACGTCATTCCTTGATGTGTGGGAGGGAAGACAGCTTCTCTTCTGGCATGTTCTCTTTGATAATGCAAGCTTCAATCCTAAGCTTGGATCAGATGAGGAGGAGCCTAACAGAATGGGGAGAGGCAGAAAAATAGGCATGCCCACCATTATTTGCTCCACTATTGACCTCTTCCAGGTTGCTGAGATTCCATGTTAACTTACCTGTCATCATTTTGTTTTCTTTTTGAAAAATATTAATATTCCTGCACTCACCAGCAAAAAGCACACACATTGGCAAGGGAGTTAACCTTTACCTTTAATACAGATAATAAATCTAGAAGTCCCAGATCTGATCTCTTAAATATAATGTCAGGATATGATTCCTTGAGACATATGGCGTTCACCAGTGCTGAATAGGGAGGATCCAGCTCTTTCTGTCTTGCCCTTCCTTCTCTACTGCTGGCTGTGCATTCTGATCCAGCTCTTTCTACCTGGTGCTGGCTCTGCCATTCATTGAGACCCGGTATGAGTCACTAAAGTAGAAAAAACAATCCAAAAGTGAATAGTTTTCTGCCCTATTAAGAAACTTGGTAAAGGGTCTGAGAAGCATCTGAATCAGCACAGACAGGAAATTGGACCATGCAATTAGAAGTGAGGGAGAGATAGGAAGGAAGGCAGGAAGACAAGATGTTCTTTTAGAGGGAGAAGGCTCATTGGCTGTCTGAGTCTTTAAGTAAAACTCAGAAAGAAAGGGAAAAAATAGGTTTGAAGGCCACTTATAATAGCAGCTTTGCAAATCCTTCTCAGTCCACAGAATGGCTTTGAAACTGCCCTGGCAAATATCTCTTGCTGCTCATAGACAGCTACGATCCTATGGATCTTTATCTGCTCCTATCCAGCTTCAATAAAGCTGCATTTGAGGAAAAGTGACTGAACATGCATTACAAATGAGTTACTAGGAAAAAGGAAGCATTTCTTTCCCTCAGCAATATTCCTCAATGTCAAGGCACTCTGGCAGTGCTTGGCCTCTGGGACTATGCCTAAAGAGCTGCAGCAGAAAAAAGCTCTTGATTTTATATGTAAGTGCCAGGATGCTGTTCCCCGTCCCACCCAGGCTCAGAAATGGCCCTAGAGATCCACATATTTTAACCTTCAGACTTTATTACCATTAATTATATCTAGAAGTGAAGCCAGGATCCCTGAGAACACAGTGGCAGGAACAAAACACAATCATCCATCTGCCTAGCAACATGGGTTGCCATGAGTACTTCTCCCCATGCTCCACAGGCAGCAGGGGCTCGCCACTGAACACCGAGCCAACTTCAAGGGCCCCATGCTGGTAAAGGAAGCCTGCTTTCTCCAATGGAGACTTTGGTTTCCATATCCAAGACACATGTGTTCCTCTGGAGCCTAGAAGGTGTCAGCTAGCAGCCTGCAATTCAGGAATGAGAGACTTCTGCAGTAACAAGACATCGTTAGTGGAACTGCTATTGCAGGAAACAAAAGCAGTGATGTTGGCAACATTGAATGCAAACTCCATTCTTTCCCTGTTTCTTTTGAAAATGTTCTTTGCACATGTTTAAATACTATGAAAAAAAAAATAAAATTCCCAAATAACATACTATCAAATCACTGAATTTATGTAGTTAGGAAGAAACAAGAAACACCCATGAGTGGTACTGAAGGCATGGAAATACTCTCTAACACCCCTAGC